AGGAAAAATGCGAATTAATATTTTCCCTCATCTCTCTCGTACCAAAAAAACCTTATCGGAATTTTATCTATAGCATTTACGCTATTTTGTTTTTAATTTCTTTTATTTCAATTATTTTATCTCTTTTATCTCGTGCCTAACAAGTTTTTTTTGTTCTTTAAATCTTTCTTAAATGTATACTAGCCGACTTTTGCTAGTTTTTGTATTTTTTTTTTCTTGTTAGGTTATTTATTTTCTTTTATTTCGTTTTATTTTTCTTCTTTTTTAATTACTAAAAATCTTTTAGTTTTAGAGTAAGGAGGACTATTTTTAACCATAACTTTATCTCCAACCTTTAATGAAAGATTTTCATTGTGGGCTTTAATCTTTTTTCTGCGTTTAATAACTTTTTGGTACCTAGGGTGACGATAATAGGAAATTAATTCTACACTTACAGTTTCATTTTTTTGGCTAACGATGGTTCCCGAATAAGTTTGATTCATAAAATTATATTTTTCCTCCGGATGCTTCGTCTTTAACTATCCGTGCTTGATTTTGCTTAGTTAAGTTATGGGCAATTTCTTTTCTTATTTTTTTAATTTGATGAGTTTGGCGTAGTCGACCAGCACGCTGTTCTAGCCTCAGCATAAATAAGGCTTGTCGTAACTCCGTAACTAAATCCGCAGAAGTTAATTTTTTTTTAGTAATTGATTTTGATTTATTTATTTTCATTTTTTTCAACGATTTTGTAGTAATAATTAATTTTTTGGTTACCTTTATTATTTTTAGGTAATTTGTAAGAAGCAGCTTTTAAAGCCTGATGGGCTATTTCTCGGCTTACTTCTTTTAATTCAAACATAATAGTTCCGCTTTTGGCTACTGCTACTCAATTATCAATAGAGCCTTTTCCGGAACCCATTCTGACTTCCAAAGGTTTTTTGGTACGAGAGAGATGAGGGAAAATATTAATTCGCATTTTTCCTCCCTTACGAAGAAAACGGACGATTACTCTCCGTACCGCTTCAATTTGGTTATTTTTAATTCAGGCTCCGGATTGAATTTGCAGTCCATATTCTCCCCAACTGAGTTCTTTGTTTCCTTTGGCTTTTCCTTCGTAAGAAGTCCGATGCGGAAAGCGATATTTAGTTTTTTTAGGTATTAAGATTGCCATAACTTATTTTTTTCTCTATAAATTTTAACCGTTATGCCAATTTTTCCATAAGCGGTATTGGCTTCGGACTTAGTCTCTTCAACCAATTTAGTTAAGGAGTTAGAAGGCATATTTCCTTTTTTAACTATTTTAGGTTTGGAATTTTCCGCTCCATCTAGTCTTCCTTCCAAGAGAACATAAAATCCCTTGACTTCTCCACCTAATTTAATTAAAACATTGCGTAGAGCTAAATTACAAGCAACCCGACTTTGTATTTGCTGGACTAAATCATTAGCGATGGCTTGCACCGAGGGATAAATTTTATTTTCGGCTTCTAAATATAACTTAGTGATAATTTTTTCGTCCTTTATAATTTTAGCAATTTCGGCTAAAATAGTACCGGAATCATCGTTGTTTTCGCCAGTAATCAAACCCACATTAAGAGAGTGAGCAAAAATAATTAGTTCGGCTTCGGTGCGTTCAATTTTAATTTGAGTAATTTCGGGAAAGCGCGTAAAGAGATAATTACGAATTAATTTATCTTGCTGCAATAAATTGGCTTGTTTTTTTTTCGGAGGAAAATAATTACTTTGTCAAGGTTGGTTAATTCCTAAGCGTAAAGCATAAGCACTAATTTTCTGCCCCATTATTTACGTTCCTCCTGGGCGCTTAAACATAAAAAAAGATGGGAACTAGCCTTGCGTAAGGTATCCGCATTTCCTTTGGCCCGAATCATTATTTTTTTGCGAATAACTCCTTGGTCGATTTGAATTTTATTAATGTAAAAAGAAGTTTTGGCGGATTTTTGGCGGGCTTGCTTAACTGCTCCGGCCAAAATTTTATGGAGTATTCGGGCTCCTTTATGCGGCAAAAAACTTAGCGTATTTAAAGAATAATTAACTTCTTTTTTGCGGATTAAATTAGCCACCGGACGTAATTTTTGCGGAGAAATCGTTAAATTTCGACTACGAACGATTAAATTTAAGTTCGCCAGTAAATTTTTTTCCATACTTTAATTTTTAATGAGTTCCGGCCTTTCCATGCTTGCCAATCTTTCGGGTTGAAGTAAATTCACCAAAGCGAAAACCAATATGGTGGGTAGTAACTTGAAGACTAGTAAAGTTTTTGCCGTTGTAAATCAAAAAGGTATGCCCGACCATTTTATCGCTAATCACTGTTCCCCGTTGGGAAGTAACTTTAAAAGGAATTGTTTCTCCTTTCTGCTTAGCTTTTTCGCATTTTTTTTCTAGTCGGGAATCAACATTCAGTAGTTTTCAAGAAGAACGCGTCATATATTATTTTTTATTTTGCTTGGTGCCGAGTACGCACAATAAATTTATTAGACAGTTTGTTTTTCCGGCGAGTTTTTTTACCCAAGGTTTTTTTGCCTCAAGGGCTCAACGGAGATGGACGTCCAATTCCGGTTTTTTGTTCTCCACCTCCATGGGGATGGTCAATAGGATTCATTGCTGAACCCCGCACGGTCGGACGAATACCTCGTCAACGGCTGCGACCCGCTTTTCCTAGCCTTACTAAGTTATTTTCCGGATTACTGACTTTACCGACCGTGGCTCGGCAATTAGCCAAAATTTTTCTTACTTCCCGGGAGGTTAACTTGACCTGAATATAGCGATTATTTTCATCTTTTCCTAAAACCATGGCACTAGTCCCCGCACTGCGGGCTAGTTGTCCGCCTTTCTTGGGTTTAAGTTCAATATTATGGATAAAAGTTCCCGCTGGAATATAACCCAAAGGTAAATTATTCCCTATTTGAATAGGAACATTTTCATTTTCTCCGCTCAGTATTTTATCCCCAACTTTTAACCCTTCGGGAGTGATAATAAAGGCCTTGCTTCCATTTTGATAATTAATTAAAGAAATAAAGGCAGTATGATAAGGGCTATACTCAATACTTTTTACAATTCCCTCTATATTGTCATGAGCATAACGTTTAAAGTCAATGATTCGATAAGTTTTTTTGTGTCCGGCTCCTTGGTGGCGGGTAGTAATTTTTCCTTGGTTGTTTCTGCCCGCATGAGACGGCAATTTTTTAAATAGACTGCGCGGATATTTTTTGACTTCTGAGTGAAGTTTTTGTCGATAATCAAGCAAAATGGTGTTTCTTTGGGCGTTATTGGTAGGTTTTAAGATTTTCATTGAATATAATATATTTTTACATTCTTTTCTCCCACTACAATTATTTGCTTACTTTTTTTATCATGATAATTATTTAATTTAATGCAAACATAACTACAAGTTTGGATTTTCAATTCAAAGACCCAAAATTCCTCATGAATGCCTTAGATAAGTTCAAACAAGTTAGCAAACAAGACCTTCATCGCTTTTTAGCTAGCGACCACCGCGACTTCAATGTTTTAAGCATCTCTTTCAAACAAATATTAAGCACTCAACGCACGAGCGTAATATTATCTAAAAATAGTGCTAAAAGTTTTTATTTAAAAGACAAAAATCGCGAACAACCAAAACTTCCACCAACCGAACCCCAAAAACTCCCTAGCGATTGCCGTAAAGATGCCCAAAACTGCTCCTATTTTGCCTTATTTTCCAGCAAAGAAAAACGCTTACACACCCTTTTTAAAGACAAAATAGAAGCTAACTTTGAAGGAACCGCGGAAACCCGTCCACTTTTGTTCTTAACTCTAACTTTTAACACTACTCGCCAAGACTTAGCGGCTTTTACTACTAACTGATCGCAAACTGATACTTGCTGAGAACCTTTAACCGCTAAAAAGCCTTGATTGAGGAGATGAGCTAACCAATTTGACCCTACCGCCGAACCTTGTAAAGCTAAAATCTTAAAAACCGACCCCGAAACGGTCGGCAACTTTAACCAAGCCAGTAAGCTTTTAAGCCAATTCCTCCGTAAAGTCCGCCATACTTTTAAACCTCCTAACTGAAAATGAGTAGTAATTGCTGAATTACAAAAAAATGGTCACTGACATTTCCATTTCCTCTCCACTCCGCTTATTCCTTATGCCCATAACTGCACTCTCGGCAAAAACTTCCGGTCTTGCTGAAACTGCCGCACTTATTTAACTAAACTTTGACCGCATGGCCGAGTAGAAAGCCGCAGCACAGGTCGCCGCACTATCAGCCAATATTTAGCCAAGTATCTCTCTAAAAGTTTTCACTTACGGCAAATTTATCAACAGCATGGCTTAACTGCCCAGCATAAAACTTATCGCTTTTTTAAAAACCTTTATTCTTATGAGCAAAGAGAAGCCCTTATCAAAAACAACTCTAAACTCGACCAGTTAACTGGGCAATACTTGCCTCGTAATCAGCATATTTTTCGCCGCTCTGATAATTCCTATTACTATAAAACTAACGAACAACTAACCGGACACTGTGCTAAGCCGCTTTTAATCAGAAAAAGTTACCGCTTAGGCTATCACTCCCTTAGCACTTTGCCGCTCTTAAAACTGGCTCGCCAAAGCCAACCAAAAGAACCCTTAACTTTCCGCAAAAAGTTAACTACTAAACTAGTCCCCCAAGATTTTCAAGGATACTTAATAACTAGCCTACTTTTACTGGCTAAACAAGCCGAATTCCTAAATTTACCGCTCGAACAGCCCCAAGTTCCCCATAACGGCTTTAAATGCGACCAATTAGACTATACCCATTTTCAAAAAAAACCTATTTTAAGATTCAAATTCGCCCGCACAAGTGCCGATTTAGTTAAAGAATTCATGCTTAATCTCGACCACCAAGCGGAAAGCTTGGACCTCGACGAAGCCCAAAACTTCACCGATAGCCGCTTCCCCGACCCTCTTCAATCTAGAAATGCTTACCTAAACCGTTGAATAATTGATTATCATGTGCCGTGAAGGCGGGAGGGAAGAGTTATGACTTAAAGATACTTGAACTTAGGTGAGTTAGAGGGGTGAAGCTAAATAGTAACCTACTCTTCCCGGTGGCCTACTTACCTAAGTTCTTCTTTATTTCTGACCAATGGCCACCAACTAGTTATGGCTTACTAGCTAAAAAAGCCCCACCAAATCAAATTATGAAACAATTAAACAAACTCTCCTCACGGAGCGGGGTGTCAGCCGACCACGCAACTCAACGGCTAAAAAGGTTAAAAGCCTGTTCAACTTGCGGTAAACAATTTCTGGCTTATCAGGCTTATAACTACTGCTCTCCTTGTTCTTGGCGACCGCAAATAATCCAAAAGGAGTTTAAACATGTCTAACATTTACCAAAAACTTCACCAAATTCAAGCCCAAACTGGGCAAATTAGTCGCACGGAACTCAATAAATTCCAAAACTATAAATACTTCACTGAACAGCAAGCCTTAAACATCCTTAAACCCTTATTAAACGAGCAACAACTAACCCTCACTTTTAGCGACAGTGCGGACAGTTTTAGCCAGCAAAAAACCGAAAAAGAATGAGTTATTCGCTATCTAAAACAAGCCACTTTAACTAATTCGGAAACACCTGAAGAGCAACTAACCTTTAACTTTTGAGCTACGGGGAGCAATAACGACCCGGCCAAAGCCAAAGGTTGTGCGGAAACTTATGCGATTAAATACTTCTTAACCAAATTCTTCCTTATCCCCACGACCGACGAATTAGACCCCGATATGACCAAAGATACTGAGCATTTAAACCGCAAAGCGGATGGTAAAAAAGAAACGGCCGAACAAATCCAAAAGCGTCACCAAGAACGCGACCAAAAGCGAGAAAGCGAACTAA